GGTAAGATTTGAAGACAYGTGAAACAGAAAGTGAGTGCCTGCATTTAAATGGCACCATTTGTCAAAAGTCCTTYCCAGCCAGTTGTTCTTTGTTATTTAGATGCTTTAACACTTGGCTTCTGGCTCGATTTTTAAAATCCTGGCACAGCTTTTTCTGTGCAGGAGAGAATTCTGATTGCATTTGTAAGTTTAGTACAAAAAAATCCTGTTTATACTAATCCRTAATTCCAACGTCGCAGCCTCCTGCGGGCAGAGGCAGATGGAGAAAGCAAACCCTGCTGAAGTGAAGTGACTGGCAGGGTATGGAAAAGTGAGGCAAAAGAGAATTCAAAAGACATTTTAAAACTTGAGGATTTTGTAAAGCTCCTTGTCTCACTCTAAGTCAGAAATTACAGAAAAATATTRAGTTTTAATGGCTTCAGTAGGCAGAAATGGATATCTTGAGGTAAGTGTGAGGAATACCTCAGAGGTTTAAGCTCAGTAGATGCAAAGCAACTCAGAAAAGCAGAGATCACTGCTAATTAAAAAACAAAAAAAAAAACAACAAAACTTATTTTCATTTGATATTTTTCTCTATCTACCGAACTCTCCTGAAGGACTCAGAAATGTGGCACTACAGACCCAAACCCTGAAGGTGCAATAGCAGAGCTGCTATCGGGGAGAGCACAAAACAAAGAGCGCTCCGTGCATCCCATTTGGCCTCTGGAAAACATCTGCCGTTTGTCAGGACTACAAAGCCAGCAGAGCCTCTCCCCCTTGATCTGCAGCAATTAGGGAAATTCTGTTGTGCTAATTACCTGGGGAGACAACACAGGGAGAAGGCAGATAGCGAGTGACACTTGTAGGCAGCATTTAARAAGGATGAAAAGGTAAAAACCAGGCAGATATTTCAAGTCACTGCAAACCAAACAAAGCGCAGCAACAACATCCCAGGGCAAGCTGGAGAGAGCTGATCCCTGCGTATAAAGGCAAATATTACAAAAGTAATAATAATAATAATAAAAATAAATTCTATGAATAATCCAAGGCTGTGGAGCTGCTGAGTGTGCAGAGGTGGGGAGGGCTGGAAGCCCTCGGCTGCCCTGCGTACACATGGTTCAAATTGCSGAGGAATGGAGCAATCGCCGCCGCGCTCCCGCTGCTGCCAAGCCAGCCTTGGGAAATATTTGTCACATATTAGCTGGAACATCAGATTACTACACCGAACATTTAACRCTGTTTTGTAATATAGCCATACGTGCAGGAGCACGTGACACCGTCTCAGCGTGAATTCAAGATGAAAACAGGGATATGCATCATGCAGCAGCCAGGAAATTTGGAGTTAAGGCTCCAGAGGTGCTATGAAATAAAGAGGCACAAGGGAACACATTGAAATACGCAGGGTGAGAGCAGCCAGCAGAGCTAGGGCTTTTCACACCCTCAGTCCTCAGTTCAGCAAGGACCAGCTGCTGGGCAAGGCTCACTCTGTGGGCTAGGGCTGGATTAACCATTTTTTACTGGATTTATGGAAACATTTGCTCTCAGGTTCTTGCACCGTGCATTCAGCACCTTGAGCTCTCGAGAGACCTGTTCTCACAGAGCTTGAAGAGTTTTGGCATGGCAAATACCTCCTTTGCACCTGAGGTTTTAAAAGACTGTTAAAAATACAAAGTGGGAAAAATCAAAAAWCTTTCTTAAAAGAAGTACAAAAAGGCAGCCGGAGCCCACACAACTGATAAACGAAATGTTTACAAGCGTGTAGTTTCAGTCTTGCCTTCAGCCCACCTCCAAGTGCCCATCAGCTGAAGGCTGTCCCAAATGTAACACCCACAAATGTTCCTGCACCTGCTGCGTTTCATCCTGCAGCAAAGGATTTGTGAGGAGCCCACAAGAGAAAGAGCCTGAGCGCGAGGGGACAAAGGGATGAGGGGCCTCTCTGCAAAGTAGCACAGGCCTGGCTTAGGGAATGACAATAACATGAGTATTACGCTGCTGTTTCCCTGTGAGATGACATATGGGGACAGCCTGTGCTGGCCCTGCCCAGAGCCCACAGCATTCAACCACTGCCGCCCCGTCCCAAATAGCTCAGGGGACTCACAGGCCACTCTCGTCCCCAGAGTGGGGTCACCAGCCTGTCACAGCGTTCCAGAGCCTGACCCACACTCAGACCAGCTGCCTCAGCCCCCTCAAGGATGCTCTCCTCTCCCTCAGCCACAAAAATGCCCCAACCACAAAGGACTCAAAGTGACACAAAGTTGTTGTCATCATCCCCCGCATCGCCTTGGTTGAATGAATAAAACCAAACAAGTCAGCCCAAAGCAGCACACAGATGCTCAGAGCAACTGCAGAGGCAATTTTTTTGCAGCATGCTCAGCTTAGAGAYAGAAAAGTTTTATTTTAAACTTTTTACAATATATTCTTTTCATTATCTTTTTTTTTTTTTTCCAAATTATTACTTTCAATGTCAGGCTGGATAGGGCTCTGAAAAACCCGATCTAGCTGGAGATGTCCCTGCTTACAGGGGAGCTGCACTGGATGATTTCACAAGATCCTTTCTATGATTTCTCCTGACGATCACGATCTCCCCGTGGTGAAACAGCCGGGCCCCCTCTGCCGGCCACCGGCCCCTCTCTGCCCGCAGCCACACAAAACCCCCAAAGTCCCTTTCTGGACACAAACCCAGCCTCCCCTGGAGCCAAACAGGGGCCTTCCTGCAGAGCAAAAAGCACAGAGTGGGTCTGTTTGGGTTGGGGTTTTTTTGGGAGGGAAAGGTGTTTGATTTTTTTGTGTGTTTTACAAGCAGTGATTTAGGATTTTGCTGTAGTCAGAATAACTTGACTCCCATTTAACTTTTAAGTGGGTCGTAGTCATCTTGTCCCAGACTGCTCTGAACATGTAGCAAGCCAATTGTATCAAAACAGTGCCCTAAAAATGCCTCCCGCCCCCTCAAATCCGAACGAACCCCAAATTGACTCACTTCTAGGAAAAACTGGGTCTTGTTTAAAACAAGCCCAGCTGGCAGGGTGAGCTCTGAGCTTGTGTTTGCTCCTGGCACTGCCCATGGCTGGGTCTGGGGCAGTGAATCCCCATTTTCCCAAAGGGGCACCGAGGGAGGGACCATCCTGGCASGACAGCGCAGGCAGCATCCTCACCCACAGCTCTCCAGCTTGCTTTAAACCCAGTCAAGAAGGAATTCTTAACCTGGCAGGGTTATCAGCAGAGGAAAACTCCCCTGCCCAGGTGTTCAGGATACCCACCAGCTGCCCGTGGGAAGCAGGAGTGGGGCTGGCAGCATCTTCCCATTCTCTCCACAGCAAAATTCTTTCACCAGGGGCTGCTTTTTCAGGGCAGAAGCAAACTGAAKCTTGGCAGTTACTTTGCAATCCTRGCATAGCTCAGYAGAGAATGCCAGTGAGGGCCACAAGCTCTCAGATGCTTCCAGACCAAGCTCTTTGACTACAGAAAAGAAGGCAATTCAGCCTTCTTCAGGAGAAAGAGGAAAAAGTGAAACACAGCTGTASATGTATTTGATTTGTTCAAAAGCAGCTGAAAAGCTTCAGGACAGCCCAGCAGCATATCTCCACCTGAGCACAGTGCTCAGCTCCCTGCAGTGCTGGCCAGGAGTAGCCACCCATGGGACATTTCCTACCCACCAGGAAATCACTTTTCCTTCCCTCAGGCTTATAAATTACTTTGACATTCGTCACTAATGACTGTAACGAGCATTTCAGCAGCACGTGGGAAAACCTTCCCCCTTCCTCTCTTCCCCCCATCTCCCAAACACAGCCACCAGCAAAGCCAGTGACCCAGAACAGAATTGGGACTTCCCTGGACAAAAGGAGCCTCTTCAATACCAATTGCTTTCCCAACAGCAAAGGAAAAGCCTCTTGACCACTTAAGCACACCAACAGCACCCTGTTAGCCCTGACCAGAGAARGACACAGCCCCAGAGTCCTGTGAGGTTGGTGGACTTGTGGGGTCTGTGCATCATAAGTGAGAAATGTGATCTGAACACCTTGCAGAGAGATGAAAATAAGCAGGATTTGTTTCTCAGCTGGTTTTGTTACCAAGTGAGGCACATAGGGAGCCCACAGGAGCTTCCACTGGAAAAGGAGTGAGTATGTTTAAGAGCATCATTAGTGAAATGTTTCTGAGATTGTTAAACATATTCTTATGGGGGGAAAGACCTTTTTTTCTGTCTTGTGCTTATGGACTAATGCTGTGTGTTTTGGTAGGATTCATATCCAGGATGGCAGAAAAAATTGTCCCTGTCCCTTTGCCTATTCTGCCATTGCCATGCAACATTAATGGTTTGTTTATTTTCTTTAAAATTTGAATGGAACTCTCTGCTGCTTGGAAGTCCTTGTAACATGYCTGTGCTTTCTCCTGCATCAAAGCACTGCACATCTTTCACCCATCTTTCCCTACTTTCRTGAAAAGGAAAAAAGAAAAGAATGGTTCCAAGTGCCCCAGCTCCAAGTCACTCGTTCAGTGTGACAGCAGRGCACTTCACAGAGCATTTCTATAAATGAGGTTCCTTCACAAACTAATCTAAGCTGTTTATTGTTTCCAAGGAGCATGCACTTCCACAGCAGAACAGGAAGTTCTGACAGTTTTAGAAGTTCATTAAACTCTGGGAGGAAATTTAAACAATCGGTGACAGCTTTCCTACAGCAAAAGAAATCTCTGCCCTCCGAACAGGCAGAGAGGCTGCAGCTTTTAATTATCACACTTGCATTAAGCCCCAGTGATTTTGTTACTACTTCTAAATTGTTTTGGCCCAAYACCCAGGGCTCACAAGCCAGTCAAGCTCTTTGCTCTTTTATTCTTATAGCCAAACGTCGCTTTTGTCCAAACCTCAAACCCCTTTATCTGTAAACAGGCCAAAGCAAGGCACTGGGAGAAGTTAAGAGTCTCGAGCACAACAGAGTGCTGCAGCTCGGGAGAAAACACATTTTCCTGGATAAAAAGGAGCATATCAGACAGGATAGAAGGAGCYCAGTGGTGAGGGTGGCACTTACCTGGGGGGCACACGCAGTCTGATGGGGCCTCCCGCGCCGTCCGCAGCTTCGCCAGTCCTTCACCGAGTTTCTGTTTGGAGGCAGAATGAAAACAGCCTTTAGAGAGTGCACGATGCCTGGACACAGACTGTGTACTTGTGCCAGCCTCCAAACCACCCAGCCTCCTTCCAGGGAGAGGTAATGGTTTCATCCTGTGGTGTTCAACCCCTTTGGATAATACCCCACGCTATTGCTGCACATAAATATTACACRTTTCTGAGCAAGTGGCAGCCTACASYCCTCACATGGAGCAGGCAGACCCTCCTGCACATCCCAAAGTCCCCTGGGGCAAGTTTCTTTGGCACAATTCATCCTGAGCTCCTTTACAAGTCCCATGTTCAGATTTGACCTGATTTTGGTTGGTTTTCTACTTAAAAATTCTTTCTCTGGGAGTATTAGAGGTTTSTTTAGGAGAGGGATGAGGTGAAGGGCAGTCAAGACTGAAGCACTCACCCACCCCCAGGCCTACCCAAAGCCCAGTGTTCCCATCTCCAAAGTGAAAAGCTCATCCATGGGACAGCTAGAACACATAAAAATTTGCAGAACTAGAGCAGTGTCTACGTGGCATATTGCAGGCAGATGTGAGCACACTCTGCCTGCTGCCGAAGCCAACGAGACTGTTCGTGCCTGCATTCAGGACACTGCCAAGCCCAAGTTAATGAGCCTGATGACAGGTACCTTACATTAGCTGAGGAATAGTCCCTGCCTGGGTGCAAACAGCTCATCTTCACCCTCAGCCTTTGCTCTCTCAGTCCTACCTAAAGTAATCACCAAAAGACAAACCAATAATCTGATAACTGGAGTCCCTRCATTTCAAAGAGAGAAAATTCAAAGCACTTATTCTGTTTAGGGTGTAAAGACTTCACATTATACAGCTGATGACCCAATCCCTGTACAAATATTTGAACACTGTGGACTATTCAGGAATTAGGCTACGTGTGAATTAGGTAATTTTCTTCTTATTCTGAGGATTAAACAGTTTTATCTGTTGTTGAAATCCTATGCTTCCTCTACTTGGATGTGATGCTAAGAGGTCCGGAAAGTATCAGCGTGGTTTCATAGCACCTGACTGAGAAGTTGTCCTAAGGAAAGTATAAACACCAGAAAGATCCAGCTGCTTTCTGCAAAACACACGCTTTCCTTGAGAAAATGTGGCAAAAAAATACCTAAGGAGATTTTTCAGACTGCCACCTGCAGTCTAAMTGTTACAGAGTTGCTCAAGTTTTATCTGTTTATTTTTAAAGTAATTAGGATGATGAAGATGCTCGAGGAAATGAAAATGAGCTCTCCCACCCTTTTAGTTCAGCAGGCACCACTGGGAACAGCAGAGGAGATCTGAATCCTGGAGCGAGTCCTCTGTTCTCCCATTGAATTGYTCTCGTCATGAAACTGATTAATCTGGACACTGCGGACAATAAATCCTTTGTGAACAAAACGGTCCAGCTTTGTTTACAACAACTGGATGTTTCTATAATCCTCCCGTTAATATTTTCCCTCCAGTGTGAAAACGACACAGTCGGAACTGGGGCTTTTGACACAGAGCAAGTGGAGATGCTGCCACGTCCGGACCGTGCTGTTGGCAATGTTTCAGAGGGCATCAAAGCAGGAGCCTGCAGCACGTCCCTCTAATGGGACAAGCCAARGGAAGGGCAAGGTCCTGCCACAGTCAGAGCAGCAATTTCTCCAGAGTTACACAGACGCCTGCCACAGACCCAGAAATTAAATCCAAGATGTCCAAATTGGCTTTGATTGCCTTAACTACACACCCTTCCTTTATTATTTCCTATCCTCTTGCAGAACATTTAAACAGCACTAAAAGGAGCAGAGCCAGTGTGKTGGTGTTGTATTTGCTGCTCTCTATACACAGCTCTGCCATAAATTACGCCAGCAAACTCCTCGACTGTTACATGGAGCAAAGTTTTTTGGGTCGTGGCAGAGAACAAAGGATGCTGGGTCATGCACAGAGAGCGTATGGAGCTTTGGTTTCACTTCTGAAATACTGTGGTAAACTTCAAAGGAGGACCAACACAGAATTTAACAAAAAAACTGACCCCAGGCATCAGTTGATGTTCATGACGATGGAAATACTCTCTCACTCTCCAGAAACTCTCAAGCTCAGAAAGGGCAGGAGTTGCTTGACAAGCGAGTCTTATGTAACACAGTCTGGGCAAGAAACACTTTCTAAAACTTTACCATAAATTAGGAGGTTCATTTAAAATGACCATTAATAAATAGTGCAATCACTACTATGGATTCCTCAAATTTCTTGCTTGATTCAAAATTTGCTTTAGTATTGACGGTCATGCTAAATGTTTCAACAAGCTCACTCTTCCATTAGAAACCAAATTATGTGGTTTTTCTTTATTTTCCCCTGTACAAACTCCATCTGAGCATTCCCAGTACAAAACAAGCTTTCCACACTTAACTAAATCTCAGCAAGAGGTTGCACATGATCTTAGGCAGTGCCACAGAAACCATTTCCATTGCTAAGCACATTTATTGGAGTAATTGGAACAGAACCACTGCCACAACCGGCAGGCTAATTCCTGCCTGGAGAAAAGACGTTAACTAGAGTCTGTGATTGTGCCTCACAGGCATCCCCCCCACCCCCCGGTCTGGTATTCAGGGTTKTCACAAAAATATTTTAACATTTCACTTTTATCGAGGCACAGGATTGYAACCAAGTTTCCAGGCAAAAGGACACGCTGTGGTGGTGCCAGCAATGCCCTCRCCCCAGCTCTGACAGCAGCACACAGTGTGAGGAATTGCCTGCCCATGCCCCCAGCACTGCCTCCATCCCTGCTCACAGAMCCGGAGCTTTCACAGAGCTCCACACACCAATACATTTTGCATGATTTAGACTTCACGGCAGTCACAATTTTAATGCAGCATCGCGTTTTGCACCCCAGTCAGACCGTTAATAAAGTCCCAGTGTAACACCTTCCCCAGATGTCAGAATTGATCACTCAGGRGTGCCCTTCAGCAGCCCCATAAGTTGTGCTGAATCTTGCTGAASTTTATGAACTACTGTTTATACAAATCCAGCAAACCAACTGTGGGATCTTCAAGCATTTCCTATGASTGATGGAGCCCTTCACGTCCCGCCTGCCTGTAAAAAGCCCCAAACCTAAACACTAGAATCAGGAAAAAGATAACCCTGGGGTAARGTGTAACTTCTCCCGGAGATTTGGTTTAGTTACTGAGAAGGGCATCACTGTAGATAATAGTTCTCCAAGTAGGGGAAATTGTTCAGCACAGAAATATTTATTGAATAATTTCAGAAAACCCCAGGACTGAAAGTGAAGTAACTACTGGCGGGTCGCCTCTGYCTGCCATAAATCAGTTCTGCACTGCCAGACCACAATACTCTGTGAGAGACAGTCCAGATAGCGGGGATCATGTTCATAATTTCTAACAAGGAAATTATAGTCCATTAAATCCCAAGATAAATAGTTATTTAAGTACTCGGGTTACCTGTGTCAGTGAATAGAACGAGGGGGAAAGCCGCATGCCCTCAAACATTGGACTGCCAGCCCTTCACCTGGGGCATTTTCTCTTCTTAACCAGGTGGGCTCTGCCACGCCTCGCCCTACGCCTGATTCATGGATACCGCAGCAAAAAGGGGAAAGTTTGGTAAAAGGGTGGAAGTTTTTCCAAAGAGGAGGAGAAGCCGATGACACACGGAGCGGACCCCGCGCCGGAGCGGGACCGGAGTGGGACCGGAGCGGGACCGGAGCGGGACCGGAGCGCTTTCCCCGGTCCTGCGCGCCCGCCCGCGGGGCTGCGGGGCCGCCGCTCACTCACCTCGCGGAAAAGCTGCTCCACGCGGGGCTGCAGCGCGTCCAGCAGCGGCCCGTGGCCGGCGGCACCCCGCTCCTCCAGCGCGGCCAGCCGGCCCTGCAGCTCGGCAGTCTTGGCGCCCAGCAGCAGGCACACGGCCACGGCGGTGAGCGAGAGCAGCAGGCACAGCGCGGAGGTGGCGGTGCCCGCCGCGC